CCCCTGCCTCTCCACACCCCCCTCTCCGTTTTAATTTGGGGTGATTGCTTGCTCGCTTTCGGATTTTCTCCCAGACGCGTCCTCAGTCCCCATTTGGGGGCTGCTTTTATTGCTCCTTTGTTACCAGGATGCGGAGTAGCTTTCCCCCCTTTTCTTTCTCGAATGCCTATTTGCCTGGTATCGGCTCGTCTCCCGGGCAACGGCAGGGGAAGATTTTGAGCCTGGGGCGGGGGGAGGGGGAAGAGGCGGAGCCGGCGCCGGGCAAGGGGGCGGTGGGGAGAAGAGGAGGTGGCAGAGTGATGAAGGGGTAAAAGGGGCCGGGTGAGAGACTAGGGGACAGACTGCCAAGCAGATGGCCGCGCGAGGGGGCGGGGTCCGGGAGGGGCGAGAGGGGGGGCTTGGCCTCCCCGAGTGTCAAGGGTGCCAGCGAACCAATCAATTCCCTCAGCAGCCGGGGGTGGGGGACAAGAAAGCAAGCGTAAACACACAGATTCACCAGCGGTCCCTTGTTTACAGTAGGAAAGATGATTTGCTTTCGATATAAAAGTGCATTTTCAGCGTAGTTGGAAAGCCAATGGGTGCCAGCAGCTCGCCTGGAGAAGTGGTGTGGGGGTGCTGCGGAAGAGCGCTAAGCGCCGGGTCTCCTTCTCCCAACCTTTCTCAGAGCCAGGCCAGGATCTTCCGCTGATGAGGAAGGAGGCGGAGGCGGAGGCGGAGGCTGGGAGAGGGAAGGAGGGCTGAGAAATGAGAAGAGGTCGCTCTTCTTCTGAACTACATGTTGGCAGGGTAGGAATGCCAAGGAGACCTGAACCGGTAGGGAGTTGTATTACAAGTACAAGAATCTCAGTAGTTTGGCGTCATCACTTTCAGAGTTAAAGGTTTTAAGTAAATCGCCAAAGGCGTTTGTATAAATATGATTAAAGAACCCAAGAGGTCAGAGTATAAAATTGGCATCTGTAACCAACTCACTAGGAAGAAACAAGCATTTATTCTTTAGTCTTACTCTCTCTTTACCCTTAACTAGAAGATTTCTAAGATGCCAATAATCTATGTTTTTTTTCTGGTAAAACAATTTATTTTTCTGTAAAATGCTACCACTTGAAAAGAATTCATAAAATCCTGAAGGCCTACTGTGTGCTGAACACTCCAATCTAGGGCTTTTCATACCAGTGAACAAGACAGAGACAGTCCCTAGTCTCAGGGAGCTTACTCAACTAGACATAGATCATCTAGTTGAGATGAACTCTATCCTCTGGCTTCTTTTTCTCATTTACCAGATCAAGAAATAGGCCCAGGAAAGTTGCCAGATTTCACTGATGGTAGAGCGGGGAACACAGCTCACCCTCATTTGGATGATTCCAGGTCCTGGCTCCTTCCACCACTGCACTGTCCCCTATCTTTCCCTTGATAGCACAGATTTACTCCACAGGTCAGGCATTCATTCCTAAACTATTTATTAGTCTCCTGATAAGTGGCAGGAAGAGGGTTTAGTCATCAATTTATACCAGGAACTGATATGAATGTGGTCTTTCCTCTTCAGCTTACATCATGTATTATTATTTCTTAAAACTTCTTAAAATGTGAAGAAAATGGTGGTCCTGGGGGGGGGGAAAAACCTCATAGGAATACTTTCTAGATTCTAAATTAATTATGCCTTTTTCATCTGCAAGCATTCATGCAGCATTCATGCATTCACAATACCTGGGATCCCACTGTGCTCCATCCTTCATCTTTTTTAAAAATTTTTTTTAATTAAGTTTTTAATTTATATATGGCAGCAGAATGCATTACCATTACTATTACTCCATCCTTCATTTTATTGTAGATTTTATATCACCTGATCTTCAACTCTACAGAAATTGATTAGCTTAGAGTAGTGGGAAGCAAAACAGACACCACCCCTCATGTTCAACAAATATTTATTGGACTCTTATCATATGATAGGCAAGTGGGATTTATCAATGAACAAAGCAGACAAGAAATCTTTATGGAGCATACATTCTAAGATGAAGAGAAAAACAAGTAATAAATATAAGTAAATTATGTGAAATGTTAGAAGGCTATAAGTGTTGTGAGGGGGAAATCTCTGTCAGTCAGAAAACACCTCCCAGAGAAGAAAATACTTTGAACAGATTTTAAAAGATGAGGGAATTAATAAAGAGTGTAGACTACTCAAATGCTTCTAACCTAGCAAAACAGGAAGGCAACAGAATTAAGAAGATCACAAATAGAAATATGTTTATAGGTTATATGTGCTCTGAAAGAAAAAAACATGGTGTGCTGTACAGTAGTATAATTTAATTAGGAGGGTTAAAGAAGGTCTTTTCAAAAGAGTGGCATTTAAGTAGAAACCTGGAGGATGCTAGGCCTTAGCAAAGCCTCTAAGGAAAGAAGAGTTTAATATGGGCATAGAGCACAAGAGATCAGTTTGGATGTATTTTGATGTGTCTGGAAAAGATACTAGTAGAAAATTCAAGTGCACAGATAATATGAGAATCTGGAATTCAAAAATGGTTTAAAGTGTAAATATAGATTTGCAATCATTCCACATATAATTATTTTCAGATGTCAGGCTGTAGGAACATGTAACTGTAGGGTCTAGAATTGCTCCAGTAATTTCTATTTGGGGGGCAGGGGTTGGGGGTGGTACCAGGTATTGAACTCAGGGGTTCTCAACCATTGAGCCATATCCCCAGCCCTATTTTGTTTTTTATTTAGAGACAGGGTCTCACTGAGTTGCTTAGTGCCTTGCTTTTGCTGAGGCTGGCTTTGAACTCATGATCCTCATGTCTCAGCCTCCCCAGCTGTTGGGATTACAGGTGTGCAGCACCCAACTCTTAAGCAGTAGTTAGAAAACCAGAAGAGTGCAACAAAACGAAAATCAGTGAAGACAATATTTCAAGGAGGACTGGTTAGTTTTGTCAAATGCTATCTCAAGTGGTCAAATAAAGACTGAAAAGTTTCCACAGGATGTTGCAGTACAGAAATTACTGGTTGCAGGCTACAGAGAAGTTTTAATAGTATG